CGGATTGCAATGTGTCGCACAAGATCTAGTTGAAGGGTTATATTGTTTTAAAGTTGTACGACAATGATATAACGGTCGGTCGCCCGCAAGGATTTAACCAGGCACTTTGGATATAGTAGTAGCTGAAGGGATAAATAATATCGGGCAAGGTCGGCGGAGTTTGGGATATGGTGTATTATGTTTTGTGGTATGATATTGAAAATATGAGAATTTCGATTCTTATTCGTGATGGCCTTTTTTTTCTCACTATGGTTAGTTGTTCAATAAATAGTAGTGTTGATCGGTAGGGTTCATCATCGTTGTAGTACCATTCATTATTGATCACAGGGGATGGCAACTGTAAATATATGTTGCCGCCTCGGTCGGGATTGTCCCTGGAAGTTCATTTATTTCTCCCGGCAACGATTCATCTCGATCGGATGGGAATATGACCGTATCGTGAAACTCGTCATTGTTACTATACTGTTTATATCTAAACGTATGCCTTGGATATGTATATCCCTGTCCTGCATCTTTTTAATACGAAGTGATTGTTTTCCATGCACCAGCCCTGATGGCTGTCAAACAGAGAAAGCTGTTTCATCTTCCAAATGTCGCGCGCGTACAAAAAATTATTTCAGCGAAAAAAAATCAACACAATTAAACTCACATACGACACTCTGGATTAGCTAGCTAATCTACAATTCGTAGTATACTTGCTTCCGCGATAAGCTCAAAGTAGAGATGCGTCCGGATCTCCCAGCTGCAGTCTGCAAGCTGCAGTCTGCGACCGACGGAACAGCAGCACGCTAGGCCCCAACCAACCTCCCTAGTGGCTTGTTTAGCCAGGAACACCCGGCGGTTTGGTCCCTTGTTTCCCCTGGCTTTCCCTGTTGCAGGTTGCTGACCGGGCGCTTTTCCTCCACAGTCTGACCAAATAAACTGTTTCATGTTCCTTCACACCAACTTGTTAGATCGCTGATCTGCATCTTCTATAGGATAAGCCGATTAATTATGGCCCTCCTGAGCATGCCCCAACCACATCCGACGAACTGCTCCCACCACTCGGACCAGCGAACCAGAAGTAGGAGTGCAGGGCTGCTCGGCCACTCCTCAAGGCGCACTGCCCCCCTTGGCTGCTCCTGGGGAAATGAATTTGTTCGCTTAGATTTAGCAGCACTCGCTTGCCAGGCAGGATGCTGGAGCAATTGATTGCATCGGGATATGGATGATACTTCGCATCTACGCGAATGTATCTTTATTGTAGGTGTAATAAGAAAATAGAAACTACACTAATCGACGCGATATGAGTTCATCTTGCAGGTCCTGCACCCGATCGGCGCGATGATGCATGACTAGCGACAGCAGATAGGATTGTGCGACACCCCTCGAGAGCTTGGTACACAGGCAGGAGGAGTTACTGAACTGAGTGGGCCCTTCAATATCCCTAATTATACAGAGTTTAGGTCTGTCGACTCACTAGATCGCCCAACAACCAACCACAAGACATTAACTGTGATCCCTCTTAAATTCTTTCCCTGAGAGCCATATTATCTGCTGGAATCTATGTTTAGCAGACGAAGAGTGTAACACTCTGAGCGAAAAATGGGACCATGGCTATTGTCTGACCCTGGTTTGTGACTGCGCTCAGCTTACATTGCTAGTAGCTTGCCGGGATGGCCAACTTTCCTGATCGGCGGACGGTTCCTTTATAATGTATCTATTACCCCTCCTGCTCTTGAGCAGTCCTTGGCTTGCCCTGCTCTTTCTTTTTGCCACTCCTTTATCACGATCTTTCTTGTCTTTGTGCCTTACGGGCGCCTTTTGACGTCCTTCCGCTCTTTAAAAGTTGTTTACGCTCTAACATTTCGCAAGATTTGCCATTCTTTTATTTACCTTCTAGTCGATTCGTTCGTTCTTACTATTTGAGACGAGTTCTGGTTGATTCCAGCTGATTGTTCGTGGCAAGGACATGAGTAATGCAACTGAGTACTAAACAGAAACCCTAGATTCCTGGTATCAGTCCCATTCCAAGGAATCAACAAGACAAGTATTGATCGGCGAACGTCACCCTTGTTTATCCTAGGGAAGAGAATGTAAGTTGTTACTCTTCCTTCTTTTCTCTCCCCATAATGAGCTTGTTTGGTGGTTTTACTCTGCATCAGCCTTTGCCTTAAGCTGCATCCACGCGAAGGCTGGTGGCGAGTGAAGAGCGCAGCCACTGGACTTGGTATGCAAGGGATCCCCTTGCCTTCAGTCTGCCATCTACTTGAGCCCCGATCTTACAGATTGGGCGGCCGAGCGCGCTATAACAGTTTGGTGTCCGTTCCAGAGTTTGTCGGAACTATTCCAGATTGCTTTGTCATTGTTGTTGTTATTCCTATTCTTATACTATGGCTGCCACCCGCGTTGGCACTTGCTTTCCCTATACCAAGTAGTATTGACGGCTCCATCGCAGTGACTTTTCTTCCTTTCGACTTTTCATTCTTTGCTGGTCACTCCTTACTACATTTGATGGCTTGAAGCTCTGACTTATACTTTCGGCGACGCGTGTAGTCGATAAATTCGCTCATTTAACCGTACGCTCGCTACCGCGCGTTCATTCATCTCTCTCGCTCATTTGAAATACCTACTATCAACCATGCGACGAAACGTCGCCCTTGTGGCCTGTCTGGTCGCGCTTTCTAGCGTTGCTGACGCCTTTTGGCGTCTCCCTTGTCGTGGACGAAGTGGTGTGGCTCGAATTGACCCCATAATGGCCCCGGGGAAACCATCAGACCACGTCCATGTGGTTCACGGATCAGGAGGTTCGTCCGACTTCACTGTGTCTGCATAATGATGCCTCCACTAAACCTGGCTTTATAGGTTTCTCTATGTCATCGGGCGAGACGGACCTGAACAATGCGGATTGTACCTCATGCGGGGTGAAGCAGGACAAGTCGGCTTACTGGGCCCCCGCGCTATACTTTATGCATGAGAATGGCGATGCTGAGCTTGTCAACGAAGTCGGCGGGATGCTTGCGTGAGTGTCGAAGCCAATGTCCAGCGCGGTCATATGCTAACTGACCCGTCACAAGTTACTACTTCCTCAACGGACAGAATGTGACGGCATTCCCTGAGAACTTTCGTATGATTGCCGGCGATCCATTTCTACGTAACTTCCCTTGGCCAGTCCCCGATCCTCCAAAGTCCGAGTGGTCTGGCAATCAATCATCACAGGACGCTCTTCGCCAGAAAGCCCTGGGTTTCAACTGCTTGGACTATAGCAAATCTCCCGAGCCGTCGCTGGGCCGCCACTTCCTGCCAAATAAGACCTTCATGGATGAGCACTGTACTGATGGTGTCCGATTTGAATTGATGTTTCCATCATGCTGGAATGGCAAGGATGTTGACTCCAAGGATCACAGGTCGCACATGGCCTACCCATCCCTGGTCATGGACGGGGATTGTCCGGATGGCTTCGAGACCCGCCTTGTGTCGCTCTTCTATGAGACTATCTGGGACACATATGCGTTTAAAGACAAGCAGGGCACTTTTGTTCTTGCAAACGGCGACCCAACTGGATACGGCTATCATGGAGACTTTATCTACGGCTGGGATGATGGGGTTCTTCAACAGGCAGTGAATAATTGCACCAACCTGTCTGGTCGGGTGGAAGACTGCGACTTATTCCATCTTCAGACAGATGCCGAGCAGGCGCAGTGCAACTTCACCATGCCAGAAGAGCTGAAAAGCGAGAACGTGTACCTTCACAAGGGTGGCTTGCCGAATAACATTGCCATCCAGTATGGGCCTGCGTACGCAAGCCCAGTCCGGTATACTAACACTGGCCATCATACTTCGGCAATATTGCCCGAGCCAAGCATTGCTATTGGTGCTTCTCTCGATGGTGCTACCGTTGATCTTGGAAATATCCACATTGGCGTAACACTGGGCGCCCCGTCTACTACTTCTACTTCAACTACCCTCTCGACTTCAACTCTCCCATCCACGACACAGTCTTCGACCTCGACCACTTCAGCAGCTTCAGCGGCTTCAGCCTACTTTCTCCAAACTACCACTTCAACTACACCAACCACCACCTGGACACCTACTCCTACCACCGCTTATGTCGAAGGCGTTGTCACTCAGAAGATTGTGTACGTTGAGCAGGAGATCCTCATTCTCACAGATGAAACAGGAGCACCTGTCACAACAGAGACGGGTGGATTGGAGACAGTCTCCACTTCTACATCCACGGTGAACAAGGTTGTATCAACAGTCGTGACCACGCCCACCGAGCCTCCTGCTAAGCGCGATGACCATAGCCATAGCCATTCCCGGCATGTCCATCGGCGTCATCGTCACGGACATGCCCATCGAAGATGATCCATCTTACTCTGAAAACGACTGGCGCGTACGATGACATGCCTTAAGGCATAAGCCCCCAAGAAAAAATCGGCCCTTTGGTCCGGTCTAGCTGGGTTAGGAAATCTCGAGCTGGTTCCCTTGACTTCGTTTCTCTGGATGCAGTTTCATTGTTTCGGTTCTCCATGTATGAATGTCTATAACATGTACATATTATTGTTTGTTCCCCCTTGTCTGGAACAGGTGAAAATCGGGCTACTATCTTGCTGTTCTCTTGATGAGAGCTGAGATATGTCTTGTCAGATATGGTGTCAAATATTATGTGGATGAATATTGTTCTGTCTATTGCAGTATGCCGCTCTATCCAGAATTAACCTTAGATCTCGAATCAGCGACATAACACTCTCTTTCTATGATGAATCCGGTGGGGGTAGGTTCAGTTTGGTCACTGGATCTGTCAGTAAATTTGCTCGAGCCTACCAACTTAACACTCAGATCTGATGGCTAACACAATATACCCGACCTTTATCTATCTCTGTCCCTTTAACCACCTATTCCATTGCCAATCACACCTTGCTCTCCGATCCAACAATACTCCATCTCCTTTGCACAAAGCCTACCTCACATTTATCTCACAGATCCCTACATCAACACAAAAGCCACACTTCCCTGACATGCCACTCAGAATTACACCCAGCCACAAAGCCGTCTACGTGCCGTCATCTGACACAGCACCAGACTCCTCCGACCTCTCCGAGCTATCCGAAGACGACCATTTCGCACAAGACGACTCTGACGACGAAACCCTCTTCGACCATAACAGTTACGAGATCGGCCCCGCAATAGCAACCAGACAACTAAGCATACACCATTACAATGTAAAGGAATGGGATACTCGAGACGCGTATCGAGAACTGTACAAGCATTGGTAATTCAGTACTACTATCTACTTCTTCTTCCAGCCCTACTTACCTACCTCCCCTCCCCCCTCCAGGAAACAAACAATCACCAAATCCTTTGCCGTAGAAGATACCTTCCACCATGAGCACTCAGAAACCCATAATAATATCACAGTCAAGGCCCTAATCCCAACATGGCCCGGATATATGGGGTTCATCAGATACAGCAAAATAACAGGGACAATCACGTTTATTAATGCCGATGCCTACCTTCTACAATCCACACACACCATTGAACCTGAAGACTCTACAACCGACAACATCAACAACACCGACGCCCTATTCCAATTCCAAAACGACCGACTCAAAGCCATAGCGTACGTCCTACTCCTCTCAGGATTCAACATCCAAATCACCTCCCGAAACCATATCTGGACATTCAACCTATCGCTCACTCCAGTTTCCTCCACGTCCCCAAGCAGAAACATTCCAAGGATATCATGTACCGTGAACACCCTAACCCACACCCACAACCCTATCCCCCCAAACAACACCCTCACCATTACCATCACTTCCCAATACCCCTCTCCCCTCCAACCACAAACCTTCCGCAACTGGCTCCGCACATCCCTGTACCTCACCCACCCCAACCCCAACCCCCTGTCCCTAAACATACACACAGGCACAATTGCAAACAAAAACAAAAACACAATCCCCACCCCCCACGGCACCATCCTCCTCGCCCCCACCCACTCCGGAACCCTCTACCTGAACGGAATCCTCCTGCCCGAGCGCAACTTCCCCAGGGCACAATACAAATACGGATATGATTTCCACTACGGGATACCCACTACGAGTGGGAGAAGGTTAGCGAGCGCGGTACATGAACTTGATCTGATTTGTTGTATCTGGGATGCGGCGATTCGCGAGAAGTCGGTGTATGCGGTGCCGAGGTTTGTGGATATGGTGTTGGAGGGTGGGGATGGGGGGTCGTGGGTTGTTGATGTTAGGGGGGTGGAGGATGGTGCTGGGATGGGTGATGAGGCGGTTGAGGCGGTTTGGTGGGCGATTGTGGTTAGGGGGTATTATTGTTGTGAAGAGGTGAGTTCGTTTTTTGTTAGGGATTGTTTTGAGTATATGGTAGGGGCAGGGTGCTGATGGTATAAGTAGTGCAAGGCTGGTGAGATTAGGAGGATGCTGGGGAAGGAGCCGGTTAAGGTTCCGGTGGGTTTGTGGGGTGCGTTTCGGAGGTTGGGGTTCGTGGGGAGGGTTTGGGAGAGGGATGGGAGGGATGGGAGGTGAGTGTTAGGTGGGATGTGGTGGGTTGGATACTCTTGGAGGGATTGATTGATGTCTGTGATGGGTTGTATGAGGAGTGTGTAAGTAGGTTGGTGTTGTATAAATTCAAGTGAATTGTGTATTATCCAATCCATTACAGCTATATGTACATCCCCCTATGGCTAGGTGGTAACCCCCGGTTCAAACAACCCAACAGCTAATTTACTGGCAAGTTCCAGTGCTGGCGTTCTCCTCTTGCTATAACACGCATTAATCCCGTTAGCTCTATACAGGTGCCGTTGAAGTAGATAGAAGGATACTCACAACGCAGAGTCCACTTTGGCAGTTACCCATGCTTCCGTCCTTGTTGCAGGTTGCGCCGGAGGGAAGCTTTAGGTATTTTTATCAGCACTCATGATCATATCATGTATGGTATAAAGCTAAATCTCAAACACGAGACGTGAGGGTACATACAGTAGCAGTGTTGCTCGCGGAGTTCGCGGCGGGAGAGGCAAGAGCAAGGCCGAGGAAGGCGAGAGTAGCGAAGATGGAGAACTTCATTGTGGAGGATTTGATTTGTGGTTTGATTTGTTTAGAGAATGAATTTTACGAGTAGAGTAGTTGGGTTGGGTAGAATTGATGAGTGTGATGGATGGGACAGAGGTAGGCTGGTAGGGGCATTTATATGCTTCTCTGATGCGCGGTTCACGTGAAGCGGATAAGAGTTATAATCATATCCTGGTCCAGACCAAACCACAATATTCGGAGTAGGTAGGAGGAGGGTGACAAGATGGTTACGCGCGTGCTGGGGGTGGAGAAGAAAGGGTAATGGTTCTGGAACTATTGGGGGTGATCTGCGGAGGATCAAGTGGAGATCATCAGTCAGGGGTGGCTTTCTGTCAGAAGTTAGAATTGTAACCAATGGTTTTCAACGATTATTGCTTGAGCATGATGTGGGGGATAAGGCCTTCGTTATGGAGAGAGAGAGGAAGCATCACGATATGTGGTGTGAAGTAAGTACTTAACAATATAGGTGGCGGTTGAGGGTTGCGGGAGTTGTCTGTACCAGGCATTATGGGTAATTTCTGTCCAATTCGATGCTGCGACTTACTAAGTTTCTATTCAAGGATACACTTACTCAGTACCCAGAATGAGTGAGCCACTTGATGTCTTCCAGCACGATGTTCCCTCCCATCTGGCAATGATCTCCCTTGGCATACATAATCTCTCACGTTGGCTCCACACCCGCTATCCCTAGCGGTCGGATGGGTCAATAGACGAACATCCATGGTCAAATAATTATCCGGATCATTATTTGGTGTGTAAACTCAATCATATGCTTCTCGGCTAGGGATAATAATACTAATGACGAGGTGGAGAAGTGTTTGATCGATCGCTCCTGTGACTGCGTGGCTGGAATATTCCATGGATGGCCACTAATATAGTGCATGTATCCGCCTTGCTCCGAGAGGCATAAACGCTAATAAAAGTCATAGACTGCTGCACAAGCTTGTGCAACAGCTCCTCGGCAAATGGGTTGTCTGTCGAGCTGCGTGGCAAGACGGTTCTAGTTACTTGTCTCGTTATGCTGGGCTCTCCCTTTCGATGTAGTGTGTCCGCTTCTCGGAATTCCAGTATGCTCGGCAGATGTACTGCTGTGCCCTTACCTCCATGTCCAACCTCAAGAGTGAGGCGGATGTCAGGAGTAAATGATCGACATTTCATTGTCGCTGCCAGTTCGTCATCGTACAGGCTCGAGCTGTCACTTCCTGATCGCTCTTAATGGTCAGGATCCCTGTGATCCTGTAAGCTCCCGATTCTTGATAGCAAACATGTGCGATAGATATCATTATCCTTGCTGTTCCTGCAGGTAAGGCTGTTCAAATGCCACCTGTTTTGTAAAGTGTGCACCACTGTAGTCATTAGCCGCCCGTTCAAAGAGAGAGCAGATAGATTCCGAACTGGACTGGTCCTGGTGATTGAGATGGTACATTACACGTCAACATTCGGACTACTTAGAGCCATTGCATATAGCTATTAGAATAGCCATCAATTGTTATATTGGCTGTTGGCGTTAGATAGTGCGAAACTCTGATTATTAACCTCTCGGATGTTTTCTAAATCACTAGCCAAAGAGTGACTGAATGTAGCATTTACGAAGGCTTCTACTTCTTTCGATCTGCAATGAACCTGTCGCAGACAATGCAAGGTCAATCTCATCAAACACCATTACTGGTCAGAAATATAAGGTTGGCTGTGTATAATGCCAGGATGCTAAATGGTATTTGGGTGCTTTGGCCGCGCCTGTCATACTATCATCGCGACTATTCGTATCAGCATGCGGCAACTGCATAGAACAATGAGATATTCAGTTATAGATATAGCCAGTTATCATTGGATTCCTACTACTAGCTTTGGTGTGATAATAAAGCGTTCAGAGAGAAGTCCAGGTCGTGAAATGATGTGCTACGTTGAAGCCAGAGCGGGCATGTCGGGTACCTGCCTTTCCGAACGCCGATGCTGGAGGGCTGCACCTTCCGCTTCCTCTCACGATAACAGCAACATCCATCCATTTCTCCGCCACTACTTTTCCATCCATCCCAACTGGCATCATGTCCTCGGCTACGGATCGCTCCACCCGACCACCCTTTGGGAGTATACGTCGAAGGACGAAAAAAGCGTGCGAAACCTGCAAGCTGCGTAAGCGGAAATGCGACGGCCATGAGCCATGCTCATTCTGCCTCAAATACGAATATGACTGCTCGTACGAGACACAGCCACGGAAGAAGCCATCAAGGCCAAGTATTGCAAGGCCTCCGAACAAATCACGAGAAAGGCCTTCCTCGCCGGCACTCGTGGCAAGGCCTGATGTCAATCAACAGCAGATGGAGGCGAACTCAGGCACAGCATTCCCTCATTTCCTGGGCAAGAGCTTGAACCCGCAGAACCCCCCAAAAGTGCACGGCTTCAGCTGGAACCTAGGTCTTCGACATGAGCCAATACAAGACTTTGCTAATATCACGAGCCTAGTCTCTAAAGATGAAATGAGAGTTCTAGTTGGCCACTATCTCGAACGGATACACCCCGTATATGCTGTTCTCAATCGTGATATGTTAGAGAAGAAGGTCGCCCTGCGCTGGGATGACGCGATCGCCTTTGACAGCTATGATCCGGTTCTTTACGGCGTTGCAGCCTTGGGCTCACTCTACTCCGGCGATAAAGGACATAGAAACGAAGAAGCGCTGGTCCACTGTGCAAAGGAAATCCTGGAAGCATCCTGCACTATGATCAAACCACTCATACACCATGCTACTGCATGGGTCTTACGGACCCTCTACCTCCGAAGCACCAGCGGTCCTCATACCTCATGGATGGCCAGCTGCTCTGCAATGCACATCATCGAAGCAGCAGGAGCGCATCAGGATCCTGGAATGGTCTCCCTGGTGTATTCCGATACGGCAGATGTTGGTGTCGATGAAGAGAGTCAGCGAAGGCTATTCTGGGTTGCGACGGTTCTAAATACGTGGATCTCTTATGAATATGGCAGGTCTCGCGTCATCTTACGAGGCATTTCGTGCAAGCCACCTGTGCCGCGAGCGGGAGATTTGACCGCGGAACTGGTCTCATTATTCCAGATTTCCGAACAGCTGGAACCCGATCAGAAAAATAGACCTTCAGACCTTGAAGATGTTTTATATCACGTCGGAGGTCTAACCCTTACCCACGATGCCTTAGTCTTGTCCCAAGCTAATCTAGCATTTACGATATACCGCCGTCTCCGGGTGGCTGCTTCCAGCATTTCTAACGATGTCATAAACTGCATCATCCGGCTAGGTAGTGAAGGGACCGCTGCCGCGGTTCGTATGTCTGAGAAGCGTTCTCCCTGGTGGCATGTTGCCAACGTTCCTTTCCAGTTTCTCTGCATTTTGCTCGCAATAGATTCTAAAGAGTCATTGTCACACGTGAGCCACGCCATGCGCTCATTCAAGACTGTCGGGGTTCACTTTAGTACGCCTGCTGTTCACGTCGCCATAGAGACCGTTGATTCCTTGATAAAGTTATTACAGAGGAAGAAAGAGCGGGAAATCACTCTCCTGAAGGATTCCACCCAGGATCAGGACTTAGGACTATTTGAACGAAACACATCATCTACGGAAGAGTACCGTTCACTATGGCAAGGGGGCTTAATCGACGAAAATAGCGCAGAAATCTTTGACTGGGATTGGAATGCTTTTTTCGATGCCGAAATATCACTTTTTGACGACAGGGGACATGGTGGGCAGATCCGGTATTGATGACGGTTATCGTGGCCGTGGCGCCCAGGATATAACCACCATACTTCTGCTTCCATAGTAGATTTATTACTATCAGGACAATACTATCATGTGTTGTTCTGGTAACCGCATGCAAACAATCTGCTTCAGATGGAGTCTATCGCTACTTTGCAAAGCGGAAGTGGAAAAGGCGGGTGATGCGGAAGAGCGGACAAAGCGGATACTGCTGTACACATGGTATATCTGCAGGAAGAGCGACTCTGGCTGTTCACTTCAACATGCATGCTCTGTATCCACCTTTCAATTCCTCTTGCCTTTAATATGCAGTCCCTTCTTCAGTATCGACGTCTGCGCAGACACCTACACGAAAGCATCAAGATCCATGGCCCTGCTGCCGCTGGAGATCCTGGTTCACAACCGTCTGGAGACATCCTTGAAGACTTCGAAGACGCTCAGTTCGATAGGCAACTTATAACAAATTATTCGAGAACTACTGCTCCTACCTCTTCTTACAGCCCCGTCTCACCGCAAGGAGTGCCTGGGGTGGTGCTGCAGAACGGGCAAAGAGTGACTGTACCAGGCGTTAGCGTCCATTCTGCAACCGACATTGGACATACCGATGGGAAGGCTATCTTCATAGTGGGATTCGATGGTCCAGACGACCCATTCAATCCGAAGAACTGGCCTGTGAGACAGAAATGGACGACATTGGGTATTGTTGGCACAACAGGTTTTCTTGTGGGGTGGGCTTCTTCCATCGACTCTGGAGTCATCAAGCAGGGAGAAGAGGCATTCAGGGTGAGCGAAGTGACTGAATCTCTTGCCACTGCGCTTTATCTGATTGCATTCGGATTTGGATCACTTGTGGCAGCACCTTTCTCGGAAACTGTGGGACGCAACCCCGTCTACCTAGTGACCTTGTCACTTCTTATGGTCTTTATCATGGCCTCCGGTCTATCTCCAAATCTAGGCGCCCAGTTGGCATTTCGTTTCATTGCTGGATTGTTCGGATGCACGCCTTTGACTACATTTGGCGGGAGTATGTCGGACATCTTTGACCTTCTAGATCGTACCTATGCCTTTCCAGTGTGTTGTGCGCTGTCTTTCTTGGGTCCTTTTCTCGCCCCAATGGTCGGTGCGTTCATTGGTCAAAGCCCTGATATCTCCTGGCGCTGGTCAGAGTGGACATCTCTGATACTGGCTGGGCTTATCACGGCATCTATTTTCTTTCTTGTGCCCGAGACCTACGGGCCAGTACTTCTGCAATGGAAGGCTCGCCAACTACGCGCCATCACCGGTGACTCTCGTTTCATGGCCGAGATCGAATTGCGCCAAACTACCCTACCCGTGCGGTTAATGCATAGCTGCTCCCGCCCCTTCAAACTATTCTTCCAGGAGATTATGGTAGCCCTTTTTACGATGTACCTAGTGGTCGTATACATCGTGCTTTTCGGCTTCTTGACAGGTTACGAATTCATATACGGTCGCACATATGGCTTTTCACAAGGATCAGTGGGACTGACGTATATTGGAATGAATGTGGGGTTTTTGATTGCACTCGCCATTGTTCCGCATGTGTATCTGTCTTATAAGAAACGGCTTCAAGCGGCCATCGCTAGCGGCCAACCCAGTCTACCACCCGAAGAGCGACTCTGGTTTGCTATGTATGGCGCACCGTGGCTTCCAATATCTCTTTTCTGGATGGGATGGACCAGTTATCCGTCCGTCTCGTACTGGTCACCTCTAATCGCATCTGTGGCGTTTGGGTTTTCCGTGCAGGGCATTTTCATAAGCAGCTATCAGTATTTGATCGATACGTATGAGATATTTGCTGCTAGTGCTTTAGTGAGCGCGACATTCATGCGATATATTGCCGCGGGAGCTATGGTCATTGTGTCTATTCCAATGTACACTAACCTGGGTGTTCATTGGTCGCTTACACTGCTGGGGTGTATCTCCCTGCTGATGACGCCGGTCCCGTATGTCTTCTATAAATGCGGACACGCTATTCGGCGAAGAAGCAAGACTGCTGCAGCATAATTTACTTCTGATCATTGCTCTATGCGGTGAGTCTTAAAGCCACAGCATGATTGAACAAGTCGGAGCATTCTCGGCACCTACAGAGCATTAGGAAGGATATCGGACGGTTATAGGAGATCTGATTGATAGTTTAGAAGTTAGAAGCTAGTTATTTCTTTTTGTTGTTCCTTTTTTTTTTTCCCTTTGTCTTTTTATCTCTTATATTTCACTAATTTCAAGTCTACGCTTATCAACTGTATATGCTGTCACAATTAGTAGTGCAACAAGAGACGTTGATGGCCGATCGCGACAACAAGAGCCGACCGACGGTCAATAAGTAGGCGGAGTACCCCAAGGGCTGGGAATTGGGTTTGGTTGTGCAGGGTCAAAAACAATAGTAGCACAGTGGTCTTTTTCTAATCATTTCAACGCCATTCAATTTACGAGTGCTATCCAATTGTCGATTTCTTCAGGTTGAAAGGTGGCGGGATTAGGCTCTTGTCATTGCTTGTGTTAAGCTTAGCTCGTTTTGCTTTTTCTTCAACGCGCGGGCAGTTACTTTCTAAATAGTGTTCGAAGATCCCGCTGTCACCTATTTTAAATATGGTCACCTTATAGCTAGTATACTATCATTAGGTCTGATGTTGCTCCCCACAAAATTCGAGGCAAAAGCGGCACGAGAAATTCTGGAAAAGAAACCGTTTTTCTGACGGGGACGAAAGTGGGACGCACTACTCTCGATTCTAAAAGTAGTAGCGATTAGCCTTCCCACTATGGCATCGTTTTCGGCTGACAGTTGCAGACTCGCCTATCACTTGTGCCTAAGATAACGATATCATTTGGTGTACCCTTTGTGACACCCGGTTTAGAGTTCAGCGGTGAACCTGTCAATGCAGCCAGCAACAGGAAAAGCTCAAGATGGACAGCACTGGGCTTGATAGCCAGCCGTGCTCGAGCAACCCTGGCACGCGCTGGATCTTCGGATTCGTCGGATAAGGATCAAGGAGCCAGCCTGTGCAGCCGCTAACTCCTCCCCGGAAGGAGGAATCGTGATCGAGTCTGTTGTGCTATAGCCTATCGCGGCCGCATATCCAATCGCCGGTTCACCAAGTGGAGCGAACCATCCCCCAACCCGGACTGGTTCTGCTTATCAAGCACCAAGATAACCATCCCCGGCTTGCTTATATCGGGGTCGCCGCCAGTTCATCATCCACCTCACCATTGATTCATACAAGTCCTCCCACGATCATTCCGGCAGCAGACCAAGTATTACACTGAGGGTTGTCTTGGGTGGACTGCTATCGTCCAACCGCTGTAATCATGGTTTACACAACGCTGTCTCCTCCACTGGACCTGTCGCATCATTTCTCCTCGGTCACGAAGAGAAGGGAGGCGAGCGAAACCAAGAGCCTGTATAAGTATTTTTTCATCCCAGGCATTGCCAACTTGGCAGGTGGTACGTTTACTCATCTGGCTTCTTGATCTTCTGGCTTTTGCTTCGGGCGATTCACGGCGGTTGCACTTGTGCCACTTTGTTGACCTCTTGCGACATCAGGCTTGCCAAATGCGTCATATTTCCCCTATGATACCCTCGAAGCAACCGTTGCCCATCCTCAGCGTTTTCCCGCAACCTCCGACAATGACCAGATCAAACCCCCCAGTGGCTCCCCTTCGACCGAGCGCAGGATTGTCCCGAAAGAAAGTCCGACCACCAACCTTCTAAAGAAGATTGATCTTACCACAGCCCTTCAGTATGGAACAGCTGAAGGCCTCCCAGTTATGGCCGATTTCGTCCGTCAATTTACCCGCAACCACCTTCATCCGAACGTCCCCTATGCCGGCGGCCCTAACACACTCCTCACATGCGGTGCGACCGACGGATTCTCCAAGGCCATTGAAACCTTTACCAACCCTTGGGATCCTCGTCGGGATTGGATCAGTCAACGCGAGGGTATACTCTGCGAGGAATTCGTTTATATGAATGCAATCCAAACTGTGAAGCCGCGGGGTCTCAACATCGTTCCGGTAGCCATAGACGCGCAGGGCATGCTTGCACATGGTAAGGGAGGATTGGCCGACGTGCTCGAGAACTGGGATTTTAGAAAGGGCCGTCTTCCGCACCTGATGTACACAATTACGTAAGTTCCAACGATCTGTAGCAGAAGTTTCTCTCCAGTTGGCTAAACTTGGCTTGTCTGGCTGCAGCATCGGCCAAAACCCGACGGGCGGGACCTTGTCGGTCGAGCGCAGGCGGGAGATCTATGCTCTCTGTCGGCAATTTGACATCATCATCATAGAAGACGATCCGTACTGGAACTTGCAGTATCCGTCTGCAAGTGCTATGGAGGCCGGATTCCGAGGATCAGATGCCGTAGATGTAATTCCACGCAATTACAACGCCCACGGCAGGTCCTCCGGGTACGATTTCCTGGATTCTTTGGTGCCGTCATATCTATCCGTTGATACAGACGGGCGCGTTGTACGTCTCGACACCTTCTCGAAGACCATAGCTCCCGGTTGTCGCTTAGGATGGATTACCGCTCAGCCGGCTGTAATCGAACGACTGACTCGTCTCACCGAGACATCAACTCAGCAGCCGTCGGGATTCGTACAGGCCATGGTGGCTGAACTGATTGTGGGCCAGCAATCCGAGGATGGCCAGAATGCCGCAGGCGCAAGTAAGAATAATTCTAAAAAGAGCGAACAAGCCTGGCAGATGGACGGCTGGGTTCGCTGGCTGGAAGGTCTCCGTGCGGGATACGAACAGCGCATGCAGACAATGTGTACTATCCTCGAAGAGGGCAAGTATCTCATCGACTCCGATAGTGCGTGGGACGATGCACCACAACCCATGGCGGAAGATGAGAATGCTTGGGAAGTCCTGGATAAGATGCAGATGTATGAGTTTTCCTGGCCCACTGGTGGTATGTTTGTGTGGGTCAAGGTCTGCATTGAGACGCACCCCTTGCTGGAGAAGTATGGCTCGGAGAGGCTGATCCAAG